CTAGCTGGATTTCAACAACTTTTAGCTGGATTTCACCAATATCTAGCTGGATTTCACCTATATTTAGCTGGATTTCACCTATATTTAGCTGGATTTCAACAACTTTCACTGATTTCAACTATATTTAGCTGGATTTCAACAATATCTAGCTGGATTTCACCTATATTTAGCTGGATTTCACCAATATCTAGCTGGATTTCAACAACTTTTAGCTGGATTTCACCTATATTTAGCTGGATTTCACCTATATCTAGCTGGATTTCACCTATATTTAGCTGGATTTCACCTATATCTAGCTGGATTTCACCAATATTTAGGTGGATTTCACTTATATCTAGCTGGATTTCACCAATATCTAGCTGGATTTCACCTATATTTAGCTGGATTTCACCTATATCTAGCTGGATTTCACCAATATTTAGGTGGATTTCACTTATATCAAACTGGATTTCACCAATATCTAGCTGGATTTCAACTATATCTAGCTGGATTTCACCTATATTTAGCTGGATTTCACCTATATTTAGCTGGATTTCACCTATATCTAGCTGGATTTCACCTATATCTAGCTGGATTTCAACAACTTTTAGCTGGATTTCACCTATATTTAGCTGGATTTCACCTATATTTAGCTGGATTTCACCTATATCTAGCTGGATTTCAACAACTTTTAGCTGGATTTCACCTATATCTAGCTGGATTTCACTTATATTTAGCTGGATTTCACCTATATCTAGCTGGATTTCAACAACTTTTAGCTGGATTTCACCTATATTTAGCTGGATTTCACCTATATTTAGCTGGATTTCACCTATATTTAGCTGGATTTCACCTATATTTAGCTGGATTTCACCTATATTTAGCTGGATTTCAACTATATCTAGCTGGATTTCACCTATATTTAGCTGGATTTCAACTATATCTAGCTGGATTTCACCAATATTTAGCTGGATTTCACCTATATTTAGCTGGATTTCACCTATATTTAGCTGGATTTCACCTATATTTAGCTGGATTTCAACTATATCTAGCTGGATTTCACCAATATTTAGCTGGATTTCACCTATATTTAGCTGGATTTCACCTATATCTAGCTGGATTTCACCTATATCTAGCTGGATTTCACCAATATTTAGGTGGATTTCACTTATATCTAGCTGGATTTCACCAATATCTAGCTGGATTTCACCTATATTTAGCTGGATTTCACCTATATCTAGCTGGATTTCACCAATATTTAGCTGGATTTCACCAATATCTAGCTGGATTTCACCTATATCTAGCTGGATTTCACCAATATTTAGCTGGATTTCAACAACTTTCACTGATTTCAACTATATTTAGCTGGATTTCACCTATATCTAGCTGGATTTCAACAACTTTTAGCTGGATTTCACCTATATCTAGCTGGATTTCAACAACTTTTAGCTGGATTTCACCTATATTTAGCTGGATTTCACCTATATTTAGCTGGATTTCACCTATATTTAGCTGGATTTCACCTATATTTAGCTGGATTTCACCAATATTTAGCTGGATTTCACCTATATTTAGCTGGATTTCAACTACATCTAGCTGGATTTCACCTATATCTAGCTGGATTTCAACTATATCTAGCTGGATTTCACCAATATTT